AACAACAAATAGAAACATTATACACGCGGTATAAGTTTTGGGTAATTTAATACCCCGCTTGGCCTTTCACCTATGAGAAAATTCATATTACCTCTCTAGGGTTAAACTTATGTGGTTGGAACTCTTTTGGTTGAATAAAACAATATTTTTTGTTCAAACCATTTTGTTGACTAAATATTCACTGCGCGTGAATCACTACATTAACCTATCTTCCAACCACGTTCGTTGAAAATCAAACTGATTGACACTGAATTTCGCATATAGACTTGAGACACTATTATAGCACGTATGTAACATTTTAGGCATACTTTTTATGGATTTAACTCACAATCAACATTTTTTGAGTCGTGACAGTATTCTTCTGTGCGAGAAATGTTACCCACAAATAGGTTAAATTTACGTCTTACCTACATATGCGTGTGTTAGTGAAGTTAATACGGCGTCTTATTAATTTAAAAAAATTACAATTTAGTAGTACTTTTCATAGTTTTACAGTTCTCAATAAATACTAAAAAAAATTCCGCATTTTAAATATAAAAAAAATCAAAAATGAAAAATGCTTCATTCCGTCACCTTTCAACGTGACGTGTAAACCCCGTGTCCACTGTAGATATGGCGTACCGAATATGATGGAAATCCACGTGGCGATCAAAATATTAAGAAAGATGCGTATTCTAGGAGTTCTAAGTGGCCATTATACCGATTATACGACGGATAGAAACCGTGATGAGTTGGCGCAGAATTTACTTTCATTTATCAGGCAATGTATCATTTTTGTAAAATTTATTTAATAAGAGATAAATAACTATTGTTGTTACACAATAAGTCGGACCTATTTGGCAACAGAAAAGATTATTATATAAAATTAGTCTCCCGAGTGATCACTATATTGACCGTTCGTCGCGAAATTAACGCGATTCTTGATCACTTACATTAAAAATTGGATGTTATATTACGATAATAAAAGATAATAATCCGAAAAAAAAATGAACAGCAGCGATATTTCAGAGTCAATAATATTAATATTAAATAATTTTTATTGTTATTACTTACAATTATTCATCATGGTCTATTCTATTCTCATTAAGGACCAAACCGTCAGTGTCCAAAACCGTCGACGCCGTCGTTATTACAACTGTGCACGTGCTCGACCAGACTCGTGCTTGCAGGATTTTGATCATTTGGGAAATGTAACCTAACCTAATCTTTGTTGGGTAGCAGGTACGAATGTTACAATACAGAAAGGTATCGTATCCAGTGCTGCAATTGGTCGTGGGACGTGAGCTCACCACTTGGCTAGGACGCTATCATGACAAATCGGTATAGCAGAAGGAAGCTTCGGCTTCTGCTATAGGCTATACCGAAACTGGGTGCCAAGTAATGAGAGCTCTCACGTCCCACGAAATCGCAGCACCTGACATCGCATATTCAATGACCAAAAATTCAAACCAAAATCCCTACGGAAAAAAAGGATTTGCTGCAACAGCAAATCTATTTGTTAAATACAGGACAACCAACATTTTTTGCTGAAGAGCTAATTAATTTTGTAATAATAGCAAAACCTTTTGTTGCAATAGCAAAAAGTTTTGCTGAACTGTGCTATTGTAACAAAAATTTTTGTTATTATTGCAAAATTAATTAGCTCTCGCAACAAAAATATTACTTGTCCTTATAGTAGCAAATCCTTTCTTTTTTTCCGTGCCGAAGTAAACCTGCAAATACGAACAATCTAGGTTCGCTCGCTGAGTAGTCAATGAGTCAAGGGCTCAGCCTGGGCAGCCGTTATGCAACTGTTGCTTCGTCTGTTTTAGCCAATAAACGAGGGCGAGAGCACAGGCTTAACAAAGGGGCCCAGGACCTGTAATTATCGGTGTATATCGTTAGCGAATTAATCGCGTATAGGTTTAGAAAGAAATACACCCGTAATTGCGTCTTCGACCTTTCGAGCGGAATAAACGGCGCGATTATTAGAGATAATAACAGGCTGAAAATCAAACCAAATTTCCGCCAAGATAAAATGAACCCCGAAAAGCGGCCGGCGTTACACAAAAGTGAGTTAAACTCTCGCCAAGAGAGCGCTCGACTCGAGTGAATTAGATTTGAAATGCAAAATTCCATCCTGCCGAGCCGGCTAGCGGCTGCGCGTATCATTTGTTTTTTTTTAAATTCCATTCGCTTTAACACACGATTTAACTCGCTCCTGCATGATTCAGTCAGACTAATAATCCTTAGACGGGAAAAACGCGATAAATTTGTATATCCATTATAAGGCATCTAATTAATATAAAGTACTACTTATAAGTTATAAAGTATCTAATTAGACATTACGAGGTGTGTTAAAAAAGACCGAATTTTTTAAATAGTACATCAACCGGCACAGAAAGTACATTGCGGCTATTAAAGATACCTAGCGGCAGGTTTTAACATCAAACTGCCGTTTGCCTCGTTCCGCTATGAATATTAGTCGTCGAGCTACACCCGCTGAACCGAGCGCGTGCAGCACAAGCTGTTCGTCGGATTAGTGAACAAGTGATAATGAAAAGGATTGAAAAATATGTGAAATCTTTGCAGCAAAATTGTGTGGTGTCTAATGATCATTAAAATACTGAAGGAGAACATTTTACATATATTATATCCCCATTTAGTAGACGATGAGGATGTTAAATATTTTCAAATAAGTGCAGGTTGAATAATTGACTGAGAGAACTGACAGTGAGTTTATCCTTTTCCTTTCACTGGAGTAAAAAAGATAAACTCTGAACTAGTGTAGCCAGTAGTTCAGCAATAGAAAACAGACCCAATGAGTATCGGGCTTTATATTAATGGTTGACCCTTTGAGCCGTCCCGAACAGGTCAAAAATTCGAGTTGTCTGCGAACGACAATAGAGGTCAACTTTTGCACAGTGCGGTGCTCTCCTGTATACCGTGCGATTGCAACGATATATCGTATATCGATAGGTACGGCATTTCTCTGGCGAGCTTCGCCTGCCGCGGACTCTTTGGAGAATCAATTCGAAGTTAATTTTTCCCTTGAGAAAACTGTCGAAGCAGAGAAATGATCTCTAAATTACCGATTAAGAATAAACGGTTCCCAGGAAGTAACTTTCAGAAGATAAAAATGCATTAAAACTACCTGCTCTTACTTTTCATTTAATTTCAATGGGACTTCGTTTCAACAAAGTTTTAATTCAAAGTTTGATTAACAAGATACTAAATGACATAAAGTAAAAGATAATGGAAGGAATATTAAATAATAATAATTGAAACTGAACCGATATGAATTTTACAATTAATTAAAAAAGATGCCATTTATTAATTTTATTTGCCGATTATTACGCAAGGCGACAATTATTTAACAGAATAACAGAAACAAGAATGCCTGTTCTAAAATTGTCGGCGTTTCCTTAGAAGATATTTAATTGCTGTGCCATTTAACACCGAGATTAAAAGCTTGCGAGAGATTTCAGATAAACACTCACCAAAAATAGGTCAACGTATATAATTTCCTCAAGACTGTAGATATAATTTTTATAAAATAAAAAGTAGAAATGGAGGAGTAAAAACCACAGTGGTGTAAGTCAAATTTTTAAAAATATTTTCTCGTGTGTATAAAGATGCAATTTATATATTGTACAGATTGCATCTATATACACGCAAGAAAATATTTTGAAAAATTTGACTTACACCACTGTGGTTTTTACCCCTCCAAATAAAAAACTTGAAAAAATTATGTTCTAAGTGCTCATCTAATTATATGCATATATCTGATTTATATACATATATCTAAACAATATATACATATATTATGTATACATTTAGAGTTATAAAAATAATGACTGCATTTCTCTCTCTGAAGAAATTATATAATGTAAGCATACAATAACTATACGGATTTGGTTATAAACGTGGAGATGCCATGCTTAGATATTTTGTAACACAAAGAAAGGATCGGATCGTCCAAGTAGCGGAGCTTGTTAAAAAACGAGTTTTTTAATGTTACGCGAAATTCTCATTAAGCTGACGACGATGTAATATTGCTTTCGAAAATGCTGTCACTCTTTCTTTCGTTTAGCTCGATATAGGTACATGTGTCATCTATAAAACAGGGCGACCTTTATAAGAGATCCGCTCGCTCTACAAATCTCTCAATAATCCTGAGTGCTTTCCCAAATATTTTATCGTGCTTGTGTGGATACGTCCTCGCGACTCGAAAACGACGCCGATCAATATTTAATATCCGATCGATTTTTCCGAAAAATGCTGACAGAAAATGAGATTTTCCCCGACCGCCTTCTTTGAGTTATCTATAATATCTCGCGTCATCTATCTATCTGGATTATACAAAATGACCTCGTGTCTTCTCGGCGAACAATACGAGATATAAAATGCATACGTGCGGGACAAATTACGAAGAACTATACGAAAATAATATCGCCAATCTAAAAAATTTTATTACACGTCTCCAAGTAAGAGAGTCTTTACAAAGTGTCCTTCGACGATCATAAAATCGCCATTTTGTCTTAACATCGAGCAGTTATCTTTAATTTTATGGACCGAGGGAACGATAAAAATGTATATAATTTCGTGAAGTGAACGTGAGTGTTTTAAACAGCATTTTGTACCATTTCATTAGCGATTTAATCCTAGAATTTAAATCCCTTTCGTCGTATTATTATCGTAAGACCACAGAATTTTTATCGTTATAAATTTTTTTTATATTTGCAATTTGAAAAGTGTTAATTTTCACTAAAGTTATTTAAGAAATTAAATTACATTAATATGATATAAAATAATTTCTTGTATAGGTATTAAAGTGTTATAACGTCTATCTTGTTTTGGGTATTTGATTAGGTGTTTTGTTGAATATCGTAATCTATGTAATTCTATGGCGCCTGATCTCCTAATCTTGCCACTCAAACTGATATGGGCGATATCCGCGTCTTATTTCCAAGGAGGAAAAGACGATACTGACGATAAATATATCGACGATATGTTCCAACGACATGGCTGTTATCAATCATATTCGTAAGGGAGGCAAAAGAAATCTGTCTTCTTACCTGATCGACGGTTCTCTGAAGGATCTGGCATTTGTCAGTCTTGCCAGAGCTCATGTCCGTGGCGGAAATCAGCTCGGCAAGCTCATCGATATACAAGTTCTCTTGGGTCCGTCGTCTTTTTTCGTTAAGGCACTTGTTACTGTAAGCAATCGAAACGCACAGAATTAAAGCACTTTCTATTCTAAAAGGATTGCGCTTTAAATCTAGTTTTAAAATACCAGCTTCAATGTAAAATAACAAAATTACTAGCAATTATCGAAATTATATAATGGCATAAATAATTAAGATATCAGAATTTAAGTTACTGAAGATAATAGAATTAAGTTACTGAAGATAATTTAGAATTAAGTTACTGAAGAATTAAGTTTCTAGATTAGATAAAACTCTTGGCTAGTGATGACTGAGTCGCTTCAAAAATTACTTGTGTATCCTATTTACAAATATATAAACAATTTTCAAATTAAAAACTGCTATTTTTTACTGTTATTTTATATATTTATTTTACAATTCATTGCACAACAAGTTTTTAAATATTAAAATATTTTCTAAAATATGTAGTCGATGTAAAATATTCCGAGTTTAAAATATGACATAATTTTTAAAGATTTGTGCATAAATATAAATGTTAAAAAGTTGTTTAAAACTCTAAAACATTTGCTACCCGAAAAATACATAAAGAATAAAGTGCCATTAATTTCTTTGTTATTATTTTGTAGAGTCCTTTTTCTATAAAAGTTGTTTTTTAATTAATTAATAAGTTTTCTAGTTGATAAAGCAAAATAAAAATATTTTTCTTAAAAGAATAGATTTTCTTAAAATAAAAGCAATTACATTTATTAATTATAGTAAAAACAATAAACGTCTAAATATATCGCAATTGCTTCTATGCAATTTTCTTCGGTTTTATCAGACCAAAAAATGTTCTTGTTCGTGATAAGAAAAGTATCGAGTTCTTCTGTATAATCGGCACAGTTTGCCATACTCGCGTTTTATGTTTTTGCACAGTTTTAATAACAGATTCCTGATTTCAAGTTGCGACTTCCTCGAAAAAACTTCGAGGGAGTTGCAATCTTTTAAATTCTGAACATGTCCCGATATATTTAAATAAAAGCAAATTAAAATTCAGTAAAAACAAGGCTCGAATTTAAATCACTCCCAAAAAATTTGATTAATTAGCTGATGTAAGCATTTTAACTCGAGAAGGCATTAATCCTAATTAGTCAAAGAGTCCGTTATTAAAATTGTAGATCTGAAAATTCTACACGCTACGCATGTAACAAAATGCTGTAGAGCATTAATAAGAGAAAAAAAATCCTGCGAAAAGATTTGACAACTTATAAAAAAAAAATTTCTTCTTTGAATGCTGAACCAATTCTTTTTGTCCCATTGAAACGGTCAGTTGACCTTGCGTGACGTCACGTCGGTCCAGCAGTGGACTCTCGCTTTGCTGTAATGCCACTCTGCAATTTTAATACTGTCTTGCCAGTTACTATCCTGCTATGTGCTCGCGACAAAACGAACAAAATCAGCCGTAGAATTAAAATCGAGAGTGAAAACGATGTATAACTTCAGCAAATTTATTCTTTTACATTAAAAATATCAAAAACTCGTTACCTTAACATTACCGTATAACGATATCCCATAATATAAAGAATATAATATTTTTCAAAGAATTCTAAATCTTATCAATTAAAATAAAATTCTAAAAATGTAGTGTTAATTTTATACAGATCACTTTCTGCTACTTTCTTTGTTTGTAATAATATATCGTACTTCTTATGCCAAATCCATGAGTGTATGTACTTACACCAAAACTGCTTTTACAACCAAAAGAGAGGAGGGGCAATCAAAAATTATTTTATAGTTAAATTTAAGTCTGGAGTAAAAACTGATATCTGCAAGAATTATCTGAAATTAAGAATTTCTAAAATTTATCGAATCGCACATTCATGGTATTGGCATAAGAAGATGATATTACCTAGAAAAGTGAAAAAATTTTTCTCAGATTGTTATTCTAGTATTTACACCCAAGTGCATATCAATTTTTAGATTAAAACGAAATCTAAATGTATCAGATCTAATAACTTTTTGACATTTTAATATATGATAACATTATTTCAAAAAACAAGTTTTAAATTTAAACATACTATTTTATGCAATTATTTCACATTCAATGTCTTTTTCTGATCCATTAATTTTTACGAATGCAAAAAGATGCGAATAATCACCGCCAACATTTGATTATCAATACTAATAAGGTAAAATTAATTAAACAATACAATAGCTTATTATACTAATATATTACAATAGCCCCAATCGACGCTGTCATCGACGATTTTATCGGATGACAAGAGTGGAGCGGACATATACTTGTGGATCTGAGTCTCACCATCGCGACTCGCAGAGAGTGGCATGGTATTTTTGAGGATACATCCTCCACATACATAGTACAGCATCCAACCATACACTCCTCTTCACCATCACCATCTTTATCATCATCATCACGCGATCGACGACACGAACCCCAAACTGGTGACTACCCGACGTGATAAGAACGCGCAAAAGACGTGATACGATGTAATACGACGTGATACGACGTGATCCAACGTTCAGCCAACGTGATAAAAACGTGCAAAAAGAAGCACTCCACCGGGGAGGAGTAGTAATATCGTATCAACTAGACTGCGTTCGACAACCACGCTCTTAACGCTAAAATGTCGTTCTCTCTCTGTTTGTACTTACGGAAAGTTGAACAAGGACAGAGCACGCACAGAGCGCTAAGAGCGTGGTTCTCGAAAGCATGCAGCCCTGCGTGAAACTTACAAACGTTGAGGGGCCATTCAGGCCCATTACGCTATCACATTCGGCAGCTACCCACATTGCACGGCAACAACCATCACGGTAGGAAGCCGGCACACTCGCCCGTGCACCTGTGCGCGTTTATACGCTCACGCACAAGCGCACACGCACACGAGCACGCGTAATACAAGGCACGCATTCGCGCCCATGCGTTCGCTCACACGCACTCACACATCGGAACGAAGCCGGAATTGAGTGTCCGTGGGATATCGTGCTATTAGTACAGCACAGGCAGAGAGGTCCTGTAGTGACCGCGTGCATGCCCCTACCAAGATGGCACCATACTAATTAACCGCTTATGGGCGAACGCGCTGTCTCGTGCGCGCTCGACTAAAATATATATAAACAAATTCGGCAACAATATTACTCATTACCCTGATGATCGACGCTTTCACAAGAGCGAAGCTGGTATATACTTGTGGAGCCTCTCTTTATTTGTGTTTACACATGATACGGAAAATGTAGCCATTGTTTCTATAACAGTTGTAATATATTACAAACAGTGGCTAAATTTTCCGTATCACGTGTAAACACAAATAAAGGTGAAATTTATGCAACAATTTATTAAAATTTCATTCGTGCGCGACATTGACCATGCAAACATTCCTTTCACATTAAAGCCCGTTCAATCAGTAGTGGACGCTCAAAAACTCGCACGCGCGCGCTCGCGCGTTTGTATTTACCATTAATAATTCGATCGGAACGATAAGCTCTTTAGTAAATTGGATGGCAATGGATTATGGCGTGGTATTACGCATTACCGAGCGCTTAAATCATGGATTTCCAAACTTCAAAATTACATGCTCCATTTGATATTTTAAACACCCCGCCCATTAATAAAAATTCGACGAGAAATTAGTCCAGGGTTAATTAATTCGAATCCAGAGTTGTCGCGTTTCGTGCTTCGTCAAATTCATGTTTCGCGAACCTGTCAAAGCAGTTTTTTACTTTTCCCTTCCCTTTTACTACTTGCTTCTCTCTTTCTGTTTTCATATTATTTCGAAATATTGCTATACATAAGTTATTAGCAATAAACTTTGTTTTGCTAAAAAATATTTTATTGATATTAAACTAAATTAATTTCCGTAATTTTTAAAACAATTAAAAAATGTTGACGGTATTTGTCGATTATTCGAATAAATAACGTTAATCTTTCGTAAAAAAAAACTCAAACACTGATATCCACCACTTAATCCTTGTTTCCATTAATAAAAAAGTAAATTATTTATTTTCAAATTAATTAAAATAACTGATTCTAAAGTACGAGTTTCGATATATGCTTTCGTCATTTTGTTATATAATACCGCAACCATCGTAATTATTGTAACATTAAAATCATTAAAATCATATTACATATAATAAAAGAGCGAGCTAATAAGTAAATAATACAAAAATATAATAAGGAAAGAATTTTATGCTGCATATATTTGTCATCCGTTTAATATAACCGTTTTGTCTTTTTTTTTTTTAATAGCATTTGTGAATAATTGAACTGAATAACGCTAATACAGAATAATATCATCTTTATTCACGTTTAGCCGCATTTGGCATCAAATATGCGGTGTGAAACGCGAATATTTATCACCAATTGTATAACCATCCAGATTACTGATCCGAGTCTGTACCGCGAGAAGGGACAAAAAAACAGGAGATTGATACTCACATCTGCGACTGAGGCTTCGCATCTGATTTCTTTCTTTTCTTGGTAATGCCGCCAGTAATCGCACTCATTTTGACCCACAACGGGTCTTGCAATTCACACGGGCCAGGCCTGTAACAAAAACGCAATCACAATTAGACAGAAGTACATCATACAGACGTAATACGAAAAGTAAGTGATCTTTAAATGTAGTAGGATATCGTGGAAAGTAAATTCTAGAAACTTTTCCGTCTCTTTATCCGTAAAATCGAGCGACTTATCAAATCAAAAATTATGTAAGTAGCTTGAATTGTGTCACTGAAAATGCCTACAAGAAAGTGAATAAAAGTCTAGTTTCGAAGGGATTCAACCATTGATACCGCCTTTAGCACATCGATAACGTCGAAATAATCATTGCAATAATCACTGTCACAAAGGTGTTGATAAAAAGTAAGAGAGGAATAAAATATATATCACTCTGTCAAAAATATCACCGTACCCCATCCTTTGTCGGGGATACCTCTCAGAAAATTTCATCTTGTCGCGAAGAGGACTCGTCTTCGAATAATCGAGCTCGCGTCGCGTTCGACCAATTTGCTGCACGTGGACGAAAGCCGCACGTGCGATTCTTCCACTCCCCCGTCCCTCCCCCCACCTCTTCGACTGTCTTGTCTCACCCACTCTATGCGTGTACGCACACCGTCTCTTCGCCACGTATGTACGCTCGTGTATACGTCAGGATCGCTGACATTTCTCCTACTTTTCATATTCTCGCGGCTCGTTTATCTCGAGATCGATGGAGGCTCACGAGGATACGTAATCCTCAGCAAACTCAGAATCGGTAATAAGGTCTTTACGTAGGGCGAAGGGGGGCCCGGCATTATTGAAAGAAATCGGCTCGAAACTAACGACAAAGCACACAGACCATTCGATTCCCTCGGTCGAGAGTGCCGTGTTCCAGAAAATCTACAGATTAGAAGACCCTTGGAGGAGAGATACATAAAAAGTATATTCCAAAATCAATCTCTCGATTTTCGCAGAACATACTGAGCTGATACTATATTTTATACAATAATACGAAAACGATGTAATGTAATAGATCCTCG